ATATATATATATATATGTGTGTACATAGAGAGATTTTCTTGGGTTGCATGGTCAAAAAGCCGAATTTCCAGCTATTTCAAGACTGAATATGTTTTGATCGATCCGCTCATCATTATTTCATGCAGTGCAGCTCGTATTTAAAAAAAAAAGTATCGTCAACACATGTACATGATTCTTCCTGAGTTGAGAAGATGCATATTGACCGAAACACAAGCATGGATAAAATAGTACTTCCTCCCAAAGATTAAATTTGAATGTTGTGTTTAATACGTTGGTAAAAAGGTGCATATTTTCACCCAAACAAATAAGCTGTACTCCGAAATAATTTGCCCCTGTGTCTTCCAGACCTGTTGCCTGCAAAGAATGGCGAGGAACCAACCATGCAGTTTTTACTGGAGGTGGTTGACATACTGACCAACTACGTGAAGAAGACATTCGACCGCTCCACCAAGGTGCTGGACTTCCACCACCCTCACCAGCTCCTGGAGGGCATGGAGGGCTTCAACCTGGAACTGTCCGACCAGCCCGAGTCTCTGGAGCAGATCCTGGTGGACTGCAGGGACACGCTCAAATATGGTGTGCGGACAGGTAGGCGGCAACGAAATGGATAAAAAAAATGTACAACACCATATCTGGACCAAGAGGCTTTATGGTATATTTGCATAAAAGCAGATTAATTGGGACTGGGGTGGGGTGGGGGTTCAGAAGGCTGTGATGGTGTGCGAAACCCCATCGTTGATAAACGCTCTTGGCCAATTAATGGTGGAGGAAAGGTGAATTCATGACGCCAATGCAAAGTCAAATTCAGTTCCCCCGCTTTCAAACAATCTGTTGGCAGTCGACTGCCTTATTTATTGCCCCCGTGGTGTACTACGTCCCTGTGCTCTCCCGTCTCACTTATTAAAGTAAGTGTCGCCTCAGGGCGTCCTACCGCGGCCTGTTTGCAGCTGTTAAAGTGACAACGCTCAAACTGTCCCTTGGGTTTCATATCGTATATCACTTTGCGTCTATGTCATCTATAATTCGGAGGTTCCTGATTGCTTGGATGAGACCAGGAGCTGGCCCTGGCATTGAATGTGAACTCCACATCCTGGTGTAGTCTGCAGCTATGCATGTCCGACTCTTTTACACGATAACTCCAATACTGTACGCTCAACTACTAGTATTGCAAATATTCATGCAATATGCAAGCCTTTTTTGGGGGGATAGGGAAGTGTCAAACAGTCCACAAATTTGCCTTAGCCTCTTCCAAACAAACATTGCAAAACGGGATAGACAGACCACTCTACAGCATTGGCGTCACAGAGTTTTGCATAAACCTTTATGCGAAAGATTACTGAACACAAATGGTGGGGAAAATTATGTCAACAGATAATATAACAATACTTGCAGGGATAAAAATTTGAAAATGACTACCACACTGTGTTCATTATATCGATTGGTCTTTTTAATCCTGGCCTGTTGAAACGACAACATTACATTCTTTTTAATGTATGTATGGATTTTTTTTGCTGCTGTTTTGCGAAGTTGAAACGGATTAGTAGCGTTTCATTTCATTTTGAGTTTTAAGCATTTTCACAGGATGAATTAAACGCATCACTTGAGGCCTATAAACACCTCTCAAGATGATACGGTGCAGTTTTACACGAGTGCAATCTGCGGTGTGACTGTACTATCGTAGCAAATTATAACGATTGGCTCTTCTGACAGATTGTCACTGTCATTTTTGCATCTCCTTCAATAGCATCGGCGCACCTAGTGCTGTGACCAAGCGCAGCTTCACTACAACACCTACTGATCATGTGGGCCTACGAACACCACATTTGCATGCTATTTATATCCATGACTGCATTTAGGCTGTAGGCATTGTTGAGGCTGAGTGTGTGTGCATGCACCTTGAGTCTAAATGGCTGTCAAATTATCACCTTGTTACCAGAGCGGTGCAACAAACCATTTAGGTTTAGTTGCCTTACAAAAGACACAAATTGACGTGAAGTTAGCTTATTGGTGATTGCAGTAGCATCGTCCCAGACAATTAAAATGCTTCCGTCCTCATGTCTTAGTTGCTGTTCAACAACCGGTTGTGATGTGTACCTTTGCTTCTCTCTAGGTCACCCTCGTTTCTTCAACCAGTTGTCCTCGGGTTTAGACATCATCGGTCTGGCAGGGGAGTGGCTCACCTCGACTGCCAACACCAACATGTAAGTCATACGTGTTCGTCTTTATTGGCGTGCTTGTGTTTGTTGACACCATGAACCATAAAGGGAGAACCCCCCCTCTGCATGCCGTGACAGAATCTGCAGTTTGTAGGTCACTTGGCTCAGTGGAGCACCGCTTGTCATTGTAAATGCAATTTTTTTTCCCCCGTAAAGACTTGTGAGTTGGGAGAGTGTTGGCAGCCGTCGAGCGGCTCCGTGTATCACAGTCTGTCCCGCCGCAGGGGTGGTTAGATTGCATATTGATCCCGGCTCACGGCTACGTTGAGGCCTGGTCTGATCGAGGGCATGAACCACATCAACTTCACACCTTTTCGCCACACAGGCACACCCAAATGTATTTAGTCCCAATAAAGAAAAGAAAAAAAAAAAAACGTAAAAAACATTCTTGACATTGACATTGTGTAACGTCTGAATGACGAATCGCTCACACGTAGCCTCTTCTTTTGGTTTTGGCTTTCAAGGAATAAAATGAGGAAAAATAAATGAGAATTATGAAGCGATAGAAAGTACAGAACCCGAAGAGAGGCGGATTTGAAAATGGATGGATGGATGGAAAGATAGATAGGTCTCAGTTATCAAATTTTATGCTTCATAATTTGCCACATATTTTCAATCGGAGACAGGTCTGGACTGCAGGCAGGCCAGTCTTGTACCTGCAGTCTTTTACTACGAGGCCACAGGGTAGAATAAATACAGTTTTGAACTCAGTGAATAATCGTATTAATTTATTAGGATATCACTATTAATGATAATATTCATGATTATTATTTTTCAGCTCTGTACAGTATGTATTGGGAATATTTCAGCAGTCATTTATTTTACCTACTTCGTTTAGGAATAAAAGCTCAATGCAGAGATAATCAACACAGATTGAGACAACGCATGCGATTTCTCAAAACATTACTCTTACAACCACCCCCTCCTCTACGTCAGCATGTTGTCGGACCACACACACACACACACAAACACACACACACACAGACACACACACATCCATCCATCCATGAGCACGTGTACACTTTCCTAATGACACCAGTTTTTACACTCACACCAGTTCTGGCTGTCCCAGATACAGCAGCAAGAGTTTCCAGTCCATTGACTGCGGGCTCATTGTGAGCTGGTCTTAGCAGATAGGCCAGCTGGGCCCCACACTGTCACACAATGTCCTCGGGCGCCCCACAAAACCCTGCCACACTGTGGAAAGTGGCTGCTGCGGCTCCCCGCGGACCGCTCGTTGCATTGTCCCCCTTGGACATGGTCGGAGTCGGCGGGGGCTGCACGCCGCAGAGGCGATGAGGCACGATGCGTGTCACGGGGTTAGTCACATAAAAGCCACACATTCAAAGAGACTCGCGCACGCAAGGAGCGCCCTTGATGATGGTAATAAGGGCATTTAGGGGCTTTCCCTGGAGACTGCCAGGTGACTGAGGGGTAATTTTCACCCTCAAAAGACCCATGATTGGCTCTGATTGTGATAATCATCACCATCATTGTCATTATGGCGTGAAATGACTCGCAGGGAAGAGAATTTTAAAGAGGTTTTGTGTCTGAGATTGGAATATATTTGTTTGATCTCCTTATATATATATATGAGAGAGAGAGCGTATGCGTGCATGTATGCAATTCATAGAGGCTAATCATGATGTATTTTTCTTTTTTTCTTCATCATTCGATTTGCCTCGCGCCAGCTCTCCATTTTTAAGACTTTTATATATTTTTTTATTAGCCCTAATGTCTTTTCAATGTCCTCTCATGAAAGTCACCCCCTCCTTTTTCTTTATTTCTCCTCGCTGTCTCTCTCTCTCTCTCTCTCTCTCTCTCTCTCTCTCTCTTTTAATCTCGCCTCCTTTTTGCACACAAAAACACAAAGCTTTTCCTGCGCTGCAGAACATGCCGAGTAATTGCGAACAAGATGTTTTCCATGGTAATGGTAGTGCCCTAAGTGGCCTCATTACAAAGAGAGATCAACCAGTGTGGGAGGTGTGGAGTGGGTGTCGGCTACCGAAAGATTTATGTGACACATTTCACCAACTTTCACTTCTTTCCGCATTTCTTTTGTTGTCCAACACCGCTTTCATCCCTGTGACTTCTAATCGTTTTCTTTCATTCAACTATACAGGGGAATTCATTATCACATTTTTTTCGTATGTTGTGGTCAACACACGCGCACACACAGACACACGCGTTATCTTTCCCAAACACACACCGAAGCCCTCTCAGCTGTCAAATCAGCAGCATTCGGAATTGTGACTGAGGTTGGCAGGATTGACAGATAGCCATCGCAGCATTGTGTGCTTTAATTAGACTACTAAAGGATTTCACAAGGCATTTGAATATGAATGTTGGCCGCCTGTAAGACTCCTATCGCACGCTTTAATTAGCTCAGTCGGCACAGGCTCCGATTTGCGCTCTGCGGATGGAATTATGGAGGAGCTAAAGGAAAACCAATCGCTATTTATGCGCTCGCATACAAAATGCTCTCTTCTTCCTCAAGTCGTGGTTGCTAATGACTCAGACGGTGCCGCGATGACCCACGATGTGCTGATGCGAGCATTTTATGCCTTGTGATTGACAGGTTTACTTACGAGATCGCTCCGGTGTTTGTTTTAATGGAGCAGCTGACCCTGAAGAAGATGAGAGAGATGATTGGCTGGCCCGGTGGCGAGGGAGACGGCCTTTTCTCGCCAGGTTAGCAACAACAGAACAGAAAATATGGGTACTTTTGTCTTTTACTGTAAAAATTAAATAAAAAAATCGAGGGGGATTAGCAGTGGAACCCCTAATGTCTTTTCAATGTCCTCTCATGAAAGTCACCCCCTCCCTCCCCCTCCTTTTTCTTTGCTGTCTCTCTCTCTCTCTCTCTCTCTCTCTCTCTCTCTCTCTCTCTCTCTCTCTTTTAATCTCGCCTCCTTTTTGCACACAAAAACACAAAGCTTTTCCTGCGCTGCAGAACATGCCGAGTAATTGCGAACAAGATGTTTTCCATGGTAATGGTAGTGCCCTAAGTGGCCTCATTACAAAGAGAGATCAACCAGTGTGGGAGGTGTGGAGTGGGTGTCGGCTACCGAAAGATTTATGTGACACATTTCACCAACTTTCACTTCTTTCCGCATTTCTTTTGTTGTCCAACACCGCTTTCATCCCTGTGACTTCTAATCGTTTTCTTTCATTCAACTATACAGGGGAATTCATTATCACATTTTTTTCGTATGTTGTGGTCAACACACGCGCACACACAGACACACGCGTTATCTTTCCCAAACACACACCGAAGCCCTCTCAGCTGTCAAATCAGCAGCATTCGGAATTGTGACTGAGGTTGGCAGGATTGACAGATAGCCATCGCAGCATTGTGTGCTTTAATTAGACTACTAAAGGATTTCACAAGGCATTTGAATATGAATGTTGGCCGCCTGTAAGACTCCTATCGCACGCTTTAATTAGCTCAGTCGGCACAGGCTCCGATTTGCGCTCTGCGGATGGAATTATGGAGGAGCTAAAGGAAAACCAATCGCTATTTATGCGCTCGCATACAAAATGCTCTCTTCTTCCTCAAGTCGTGGTTGCTAATGACTCAGACGGTGCCGCGATGACCCACGATGTGCTGATGCGAGCATTTTATGCCTTGTGATTGACAGGTTTACTTACGAGATCGCTCCGGTGTTTGTTTTAATGGAGCAGCTGACCCTGAAGAAGATGAGAGAGATGATTGGCTGGCCCGGTGGCGAGGGAGACGGCCTTTTCTCGCCAGGTTAGCAACAACAGAACAGAAAATATGGGTACTTTTGTCTTTTACTGTAAAAATTAAATAAAAAAATCGAGGGGGATTAGCAGTGGAACAAAGATAAATGTAACAGTCGCTCAGCTTTACCACAAGTCACTTAAGAGCACAGGGGTCCATGACAACAACAACAAAAAAGTGTATTCCGGAAGTTGAAAGAAAAGGTAAGAAATTAAAGAGGCGCCACCGTGTGGTGTGAGACCGAACTATAATGTTCGTTACTATAATATTAGTTTCCATTATTTTGCTTCACATCTTCCTCTAAACAGTAAACAGTTTTGACGGGGCGATATACATACAGAATTTTTCCCATAATGCCACGGGTATTGACATGCACCATTGTGCGCCTCAAGCACTCTTGGCGGTCACAAATGGACAATTCACTTTGTTTAGCTTCGTCCTCTCCACCTGTTAAGTGGCTGTCGTGCACAATTGCGCATGCGCAAGTCAATTCCCCATGGCATTATTGGGAAACATGTCCTGTTTTTAGCAATTAGTCTGTATTTTATATGTTCAGACAATCCCATCAATACATTTGAGCTACTTTACTGTACTATACGTTTTGTTCCCGACAGTCCTAATAGTGCTATTACTTGCACTTTTCACGTTCGAGGGAGCCATACGAGTTAATTTAGATTAAAAAAAAAAGCAAAAAGATACATATCTGGATGTGAACTACAGATGCTCAGTGTTAAAAATGTTTATGCTGTGCGGGGGAAAGCCAAACAGAGTTTGGTTGGATGTTGGGACTAAGTGAAGCATTAAAAAAATAAAATTGGTTCCTAAACATGGTGGTTTGCGAACTGAGGTTTGTGTCACTTGATTGAGCCAGATTTCCGTTTGAAACATGAATGTCTCTTCTGCTCCATAGGGGGCGCTATTTCTAACATGTACAGTGTGATGATCGCTCGTTACAAGTATTTCCCCGAGGTCAAGACCAAGGGCATGTCTGCTGCTCCTCGTCTGGTTCTGTTCACATCGGAACATGTATGTTGGAGAAGTTTACTTTTAATTAATGTCATTGGAGAAGGGGGTGGGGGAAAGCTCGATTTCGTAAAAAAGACAAATGGGCCAAGTCATTTGAAGAAAAAAAAAAAGGATGGTGAAACATGTTCATAAAATTGTTTATTTTAACAATAAACAAATCAATTATTGTGATCACTCTTTTATTAAAGTAAATAATTATTTGGACTGTATTTATCATTTATCATTTTGTTACAAATAATCAGGCAATTATTTAATAGACTAATGAAAGCATTTTTAAATGATTAGATTTACATTGTTTTGTTTATTCATCATAAATCAATACACCAATTATGTAGTGACATGAATGAATGAAATTTTAATGAAATGATTTTATGGCTAAATTGATGCTTGGTAGGCGGGCTTAGAACAGAACAGGTCGGAATATTTTCCCCAACCCGGCCTTACAGAACTGCAAAGCTATGATTAGGCCACAAAAGCTCCATCGCCCTTGATGGCTTATTGAGCAACCGTGTCAATAAGCGAGTCACTGTGAACTGACGCGTTTTGTTCCTGCAGAGCCACTACTCCATCAAGAAAGCCGGTGCTGCTCTGGGATTTGGCACCGAGAATGTGATTCTGCTGAGCACGGATGAGAGGTAACGCATAAAGTCCATTTGAAAAATAAAATGAAGGAATGCAGTAAAGAGTCAACAGCTGCACATTGATTCTCTCACAAGGCTTGTTCCCGAGGCCTCAACGTATTGACTTTGTTTTAATTATTTATTTGCTAGTTTCAGTTCATTTGAACAAATGTGAGGCCTTTGACAGCTTTTGGCTTTGCAGGTTTTGTAAGCATCGCGTTGCCGTGCCCGTGGCTCGCCAATTGACCTTGGAGCAGTGTTGCAAAATTGTTTTTCTGTCCCCGACTGCAATTTAGCGCCAATTTAAGAAGCTTTATGGCTATCGCACTGCTCCAACGCTCGGTACAATTTATGGCAAGTTTCCCTGAACAGGATCCGTTGTTGATCATTCACGCCGTGTAAAGCCCGCTACGACTGTCGCCGATGAAAACACGGAGCTCCGACAAAAGGCCTTCTCCAGAGAGTTCTCAAGCTCGTTTGTTCAAAGGCTTCAAGCGAAAGAATATCGTGCTTAACAACCGCAAATCGTTACGGGTGGAGCTTCATCACTCTCCGAAGCGTCTGCTCAATCGAACATTTGCTGAGGCTGAATTCCAGTGGGATCGACTTTCTTTGGCTTTGTGCAAATGCCTAATCAAGGAGGTTGGCGTTTTCATCCGCGGTGGTAGTGGTAGCAGGCCATCGGCTGTGTGCTTTGGTCGAGAAAAGAGAAACCGTTGAGAGAAACGTGTCAAGTATTGCATAAATTGCGCTGAGTGTTGAAGCAGAGTGAGCAGTGCCATAAAGCTTCTCGAACAAGAACAGAACTGCGGTTAGGGGAAGAAAAACGTCTTGGCAGGCCGCAAGAAATCAATTGGTGAACCGCGGCGAGTGGAACGATATGCTGACAAAAAATGCAAACTGTCAAATGCTGATGGCCAGACCCCATCTAACCGATACCTGAAACAAAATAGAAAAAAAAAAAAAAAAGGAAGCGTGTCGTGACTTTTGGGAGCCCCGTATTTAAGTGTTGTCCCACTCTTTCAGGGGGAGGGTCATTCCTGCGGATCTGGAGGCTAAGATCATTGACGCCAAACAAAAGGTGGGCTCTTTATTTGACTTTCCTCTTCCTTGTTTGCTCTGTCGCTAACGTTCGTGATCGCCAAGTGTTAAGCGTGCGCGCCTTTCGCAGGGTTACGTGCCATTATTTGTGAACGCCACCGGTGGCTCCACCGTCTACGGTGCCTTTGACCCCATCAATGAGATTGCGGACATTTGCGAGAAGTACAACCTGTGGCTGCACGTTGACGTAAGTCTCAAACATCATTTTGTCATCATTTATATCAACCTAATATGCACTGATGCACGGCAAAAAAAAGTGTTGCCTTATCTTCGAAGGGAGCGTGGGGTGGCGGCCTGCTGATGTCCAGGAAGCACCGCCATAAACTCAACGGGATTGAGAGGTAATTTCCGGAAACGGCAGTGTGCTCCCTGTATTCCCGGTCAATTCAATGCAACGGAAACTTTGCAGAGCCAACTCTGTCACGTGGAACCCTCACAAGATGATGGGCGTGCCGCTCCAGTGCTCCGCCATCCTCGTTAGGGAGAAGGTAAGCTTACGGAGCTCGCGCACTGAATAAGTCGCATTCCGCAGGGTCACCTTGGTAGCGACGCGCATTGTACCATCAGGACTTGAGAGCTCATTTCTCTTTCTGTTTTCCCAGCGAGTCTTGAGCAGAGGAGTCATGGGAAAAGCTGAACAGAGATTTGAATGTGACGTGTGTTTTTCAGGGACTGATGGGCGGGTGCAACTCCATGTGCGCCGGTTATTTGTTCCAACAAGACAAGCAGTACGACGTCACGTACGACACTGGGGACAAAGCCATCCAATGTGGCCGGCATGTGGACATATTTAAGTTCTGGCTCATGTGGAAGGCGAAGGTAAAATTGGACATACGGCTTTAAAACGAGCTTACACAAACACACAAATATGTAAAAGCCATGCCATCGTTTTCGCGTCATGACGGGCCCCTTTGAGTGCTCCTTTCACATTTTTACTGCACTTTTTCCCCTCACAGGGCACCACTGGGTTTGAGCAGCACATTGACAGGTGCTTGGATTTGTCTCAGTACCTGTACAACAAGATCAAGAACAGGGAGGGGTATGAGATGGTGTTTGATGGCGTGGTAAGCCGTCCTCATTTGGTTTTAACGTCGCTCTGTGTCTTCCATCTTGAGTTTAATGCACTTGTGACCATTTCCGCCCCCAGCCTCAGCACACCAACGTTTGCTTCTGGTACATCCCACCCAGCCTGAGGGGAATGCCAGACAGTGAGGAGAGGCGGGAGAAGCTCCACAGAGTGAGATGCCTCTGTTAATATTGTTACCAAAGAGAGATTAAAGCAATTTTCATCAGGGTGGTAAATGATCGAAGCCAGAAAAGTTCTGGGTGGCAAAAAAAAAAGAATGTGGCTACCTCTGACCTGATGTTAAACAATAACAAAAACAGATAGATCCCCAAAGCTTACGGTTTTCTTTTTAAATTCCACCCCCCCCAAAAAAAAAAAATTCAAATAAATCCAGCGGAACGTGTGGGTGAGGATAATAAATCGAGTGGACTTGTAAATTGTGATGCAGAGAAGAACACAAGACCGCCTTCAAGCTGACACATAAGCAATCGTTTAACTCAATTGGGCGTTTGCCACCCAGATAAACATGCGACGTCATCTCGAAATGTCCCATACGGCTCTCGTCCCGAGCTTCATTTTTTTATTTATCTATTTTTTTTCATCGCCAGGTTGCACCAAAGATCAAGGCCATGATGATGGAGTCAGGTACCACCATGGTGGGCTACCAGCCTCAGGGCAATAAAGTCAACTTCTTCCGTATGGTCGTCTCCAACCATGCGGCCACCCAATCTGACATCGACTTCCTCATTGATGAGATAGAGAGGCTGGGTCGTGACCTGTAGACCCCCTTTTCGCACTGCTCCAGTGTTGTCCGTGTTGTTTTCCGATGGCACATCATCCTGAGGAGAGAACCCAACAATAAGACTACACCCCCCCCTGACCCGCTGCTCCCCGCACACACATTTGTCCTCCTTTAGCTCCGTATATGGCGACATAGTTTCAGGTAACTGATGGATGTGTGCTGGTGGGAAGTCTTGTACTGCGTGTGTTCAATCTAGTGTCATTTTAATGTAGATTGTTGTTCAACGTGTGTGTGTGTGTGTGTGTGTGTGCGCTCGTGTGAGCGAAAAGCAGTAAAGCACAGCTCCAAACCTGACAAGCATCACAAAATTATTCTTGTGTAAAAAAACAAGAGTGCGGGTGGCACCCCGTGTGTATATAGAAGTATTTTAGAGAAATGGATTAAAGATAACATAATGACGACAGTATGTGCGTACAGCACAGGTACTAAATGCTGAGAGGAACATCCGGCCGCTTGGATCTGTCATCTTCTGGAAGCGAGACAGGTCACGACCATGTTGGTAGTTCTTCTGTCTGTGATCATGATTTTAAAATGCCGGCTCATTTTCTGTTTCATGCAATCACGTGATACCCGTATGTGTGTTCTCAAAGAATATTTATTCCTATTTGATGATATCGGAACTATTGCATTCTCATTGTCGACAGATTCAGGTATTTTCATGTCAATGTATCTTCACGTGTCGTACATGGTGATGATTTGTAAATTTGAAATTGAAATAACACTGACTTTGTTGGCCAAAGAAAGTATAGAGCGGAAATAGTGCAAGTCATTATTCCTCGTCCATAAGTTATCGATGTTTGTAACGTGTGACCCTCAACTGCGATGCAATTTCTATCGTGCGTTTACTGATGTGATTGTGAGTCTTTGAATGTCTGAGGTGACTGACTGGCCTTCCGACGGGACGGAGAAAGAAACCTACAGTCTGTGTTCCTCTGGGTAAGCGAGTAGCATAGTAATGCGAGAATGTACTCTCCTCTGGAGAACGGGTAGGAAGAATCGGTCAGAATTCAAACGCATTTACTGTAATATAATATATTTATTGTAATACATATTTAATGTATTTCTGGTATTATGGGAGCTCAATGGAATATCTTGTTTGAGGAGCTCCTCTTTGTGTCTTTGCACTAGGTTCACCTTTCTTCCATTGTCAATGGATGTGTATTATGAGATATTTAATTTACCATTGATGGTAACCAGGGACCATGATTTGAATTGCATAAATCCTATTGAAACTTGTTTGTTGTCAGGAACTCCTTTATGTGACCAGTTTGATTTTGAGATTAATATAGCTGTAAGGAATGTTACCCAGGAGATTATCTGGTGGCACTTTAACAAAAAAATTAAAACAGCGTCTCTGTAAAATGTTTAATAAAGTCTAATAAACTTGAGTGAATGAGTCTTCAATTTCTGTCTTATATTTGAAGCACAACACACGTACACATGCATGCACGCATGCACGCACGCACGCGCACACACGTACACGCATGAATACATTTTTTTTAGCTCCAGGCTGTGTGTCACATTGTCCTGCATTGTTGTTTGTTGTCATACCGATTCTACTGGTCAGCAGTACATTTTAATCAGAGATGTCAGATTCTAGTTCTTAATCAAATTTGCTTGCTTTGCCATAAGTCCCCCGCTCTCTTGCATCAAATGATAATAATAATAATAATAATAATAATAATAATAATAATAATAATAATAATAATAATAATAATAATAATAATAATCATCACGGCAAAGACATCAACAATAATGCTTTGGTGCATCAATGCGGCTTGAAGAACCATTCTGCTTATTTGTTTATTTGTTTGAAATGTCCAGGGAAGCATCACGGATTTTAGGAAGGGATGGGAGAACATAATAAGAATCAGTAACTCCGCGCCAAAGATAGAAAGGTTGCAGAGTTTCATCACATTCCGAACGACCTCATTAAAATATCGGAAGGTCATCGTGGCGCTGAAAAAAAGAATACGTGCGCCCCCTGGTGGTGAGAATTAGGTCTTCATATTTCACCTTTTGAGCAAAGTCACGACTGTTGAACTACAATGTAAGGTTTTATCGTCACTATGACAAGTTCGAGAAAAATAATCGTCGCCATATAATAATGCCATTACAGTAGTACATGATATATTTGTCATGTTTATAGTATTTACATGAAACTTAAACAAATGACAGCATATATTTTGAAAAACAAGTGTTTGTCATGCATTACCGTAGAGTGTACGTGTAAATGACTTGCAGAAGGCCTGCAAACAAGAGCTCTCTTTATACTAATGAAACGTGTGGCTTGTGTCTGAAGCGCTCATAATAAAATGATCATATTGTACGGCGCATTCAGAAAGGATTCACGGAGCTCCCCTTTTCCCATAATTTATTGTTATCAACTGATTTTAAAATGTAATAAAAAAAATAATATTGCAAAATTATACACGCGACACCCCATAATTACAGCGTGTAAAAGGCTGCCAAGTTTGCCAACCTAGAAGCATCGAATCTAAGTTTTGACGTGACAGCGTGATTGTGCAGGACATGTTGCCGAATGACTTGCCAACATCTGTCATTGTGTGAGGCGAGAAAAATTGTCAGGTGGGTCTTCTGCTTAGAACAGTTAAAGTGCAATTGTCCCTCACTGTCTCTTGAGCGCCACCATACCTTTATTTGTCAGTGACCAATTCACCGATGTTTACAAAGACAATTTCAAGATGCAACTTTCAACATGTTTATTAATTGACTGATTGAGTGATTGATGATAGATAGGAATTTGGGACGTTAATATTTCCAACCCGAGAACGCTGGCGTCTGCAGTACTTCCTGCCACGTAACGGCGCATGCGCAGCAGATGACTACCCATTTGACGACGTGTACCCGGTGAGTACAAGTAGTCGGGTACTTGATCGTTCGTCGGAATCAGTTTGCCATAAAACCTGCAAAAGCCTTAAGACAGCTCGATCATGGGAGGATCGCAGAGTGTGGAGATACCGGGAGGTGGCTCCGAGGGCTACCACGTCCTCCGGGTGAGTTCTTTGCACGCATATCCGGAGCGAAATCCTGCTCCTAGCACGTAGCCTAGCATTGCTCATTTGCCAGCACTGTGTTGACTAAGAAACTGGATGTCACGTCGGGCCTGTGTGGTGGAGAACCACACATCTCACGTGGGGCTTTGTCATTTTTGTGTCATGTTTGCTACTTGAGCCCTACGAGTGGCAACATGTCAAACATACTTGCCTGAAGCATTACAGTTGCTAAAAGCTACATGCTACGCGGCTACAGTGAATGACACCTGCCAAGGCTGGTTGACATCCATCAGATGGGGTGTGGAACCTATTTTATGTCATGCAGAATATTCAAAATGTGCTTGGAAATATGAAAGTTTTTAGACAATTGCGCTACTGTCCATGTATAGGTTTATTTTAATGTTCGCGTCGTGAGCTAAATGCCAATTTTGGCAGTTGTATGCCATTGACATTCACTTGCACTGGCAGAAAAAAAGACAAATTAAAAACCTTTACATCCTATTTGGTATCATCAATGTTCGCTTGAAGACTAAGGTTCCGTGTTTGCGACTACTTTCTAACTGTGATTCACATAAAATTCAGAGGTCCAATTCCTTATACTCATGCTTACTTTCTGTCTTGCAGGTTCAGGAGAACTCCCCAGGTCACCGTGCAGGACTGGAACCTTTTTTTGACTTCATTGTCTCCATCAATAACACCCGACTGGTAAGTCAACAGTGAAATGGAGTAGAAAGCAAGCTGCTTGTTTCTGCCATGTTGCTAGTTTAGCGATGTTCTCACTATAGATTTAAGTGGCTTTTCTGAACCTCCTAGCAACTAAGAGAATCGCAAAAATGACAACCGTTTTCCTCATGTTGGCAACATTTTAATTTCCTGCATGGTGGAAAGAAGAGGGCCAAGAAGACTTGGCCCGATCACACTGGAAAGCTTCAGTTTTGTAATACTGTACCTATTGAGTGTACTATAGATCGACGTGGCTTCTATTTGACTCCCGCTCCACAGAACAAGGACAACGACACCTTGAAGGACCTTCTGAAAGCCAGCGTGGAGAAACCAGTCAAGATGTTGGTCTACTCTTCAAAGACCCTGGAGCTGCGCGAGTCCACCGTCACACCCAGCAACCTGTGGGGGGGTCAGGGCTTGCTCGGCGTCTCCATTCGCTTCTGCAGCTTTGAAGGAGCCAACGAGAACGTTTGGCACGTTCTTGTACGTAGACCTCACCGTCGTGGCCGTCTCGCTAACCAACTCCCCAAACGCTCACTTGCCGCGCTCTTCGCAGGAGGTGGAGCCAAATTCGCCCGCGGCCCTCGCCGGTTTGAGACCACACACCGACTACATCATTGGAGCTGACACTGTCATGAACGAGGTGGGCGATCGCAACAGGATGTCCAGACATGTTGCTCTCGCACGCTGTCATGATGGGTCCTCCGGTCGTGACGACTGCGTTTTTTTCCCCGTGCAGTCCGAGGATTTGTTCTCCTTGATCGAGAGCCACGAGGGGAAGGGCCTGAAGCTCTACGTGTACAACACCGACACCGACAACTGCAGGGAGGTGGTCATCACACCCAACGGTGCCTGGGGAGGAGAGGGAAGGTAATCCGCTCCAATTTATGCAAGTGTGATGAAATTGATTCATCTCGGCAGTGTTGTCTAACGTCGAGGCCATTTGATTCCAGTCTCTCATTTAATTTTTGTATGAAGCATTTATTCCGCCCGCCTCACAGTTCGGCGGTGTAGGCTTCGAATCTCTATTGCAGCCTTTCTGTGTGGTGTTCGCGTGGGTTTTCTGCGGGTGTTCCGGCTTCCTTTCCGCATTCCCAAAACATCCATTCGCTTCATAGAAGACTTTGAATCGTAATTAGGGGTGTGACTGCGCACACATTGTAACTCGGTTACTGGTTTCGTGTGTTACGTTTTTAAGGGGGAGGCGCCGCAACACTCCGTGTGTTTGTCTCGTGGCTTTATCGTTTTTTTGATGTTTCACGAAACAATGACATGTAAACTTCATTTGATGAATCGTTCAGCCCGACAAGGTAACATCTTGTGTGTGTGCAAAGTTTTTCTTTTGGAGGAAGTCTTGTCTTGTGTTTGGAACATTCCAACAATGACGGGATCAAGGTTCCAATTAGGAGAAACATCTTGAACTGGGCTAGTAACAAACAAACCGAGGAGGTAATGAGTCTGTTTACGGCAGATGTTGTTAGTTCAAGCGGCTTTTTCCCCAAGCCGTAATACAAAACATTCCATTTCATTTATGGCGGCGCGCTTTGGGGATTTGGACTTTGAGAAGAAGCGAGACGATACTTTGGGAAACCCTTTGTCGTCATTTAATTAAAACAGTTGCAGGCAATAAAACACAATTGTTCTTTTTGCTTAAGGGCCTCACTTGAACAGTTGAGAAGTATCGTTGGGAGTACAGAACACGGTGAAAAAAACACTTGGCCAAAGTCAAATGGAGCCAGCAAATGTACGCATTAGACACCAACCAAGACTTTTGTTCCTTGTATTTAAAAAAAAAATAATAATAATAATAATCATCATAATAATAATGTTGACAATATCCTTTTTTTATATATACGTGTGGTGATCAGGCTGGTTTGTCACCATGCTAAACCAGTGCCCCCAACATTTTTTTTTTAATATCAGGGACCTTTTTTGTTGACTAGCAACTATTTCACATTATTAAATTATTAATTTTTTTCAAGATCATTAGGCATTGAGGGTAGTAAGCATCAGACACTCGATATGCCATCTCGCAGCAATTACTTGTCGTCTGTCATGTTGGTCTCCCAAAAGCACGTCAGCGGGTGATTTTCAAGCCGGGCTCATCTCCGATAGGTTTGACTTGAAATGTCATCCTTGTTGTTTTGGATCATTTTGCTCCCCCGCCACAGCCTCGGATGCGGGATTGGCTACGGATACCTGCATCGGATTCCCACGCGACCTTTTGAGGAGGGGAAGAAGATCTCCTTCCCGGGGAATGCTTCTGGCGAGCCTGTCGGTCCGTTGAAGGACGGATTCACTGAGGTCTTACTGCACTTCACTCTCATGATGTGAACGTTTCACTCCGACAAGCGGAGTCTTTTAGTCGCTGTAAAAAGGAATAAATAATCCCTCAGGTCCAGTTGTCTGCCGTGACCCCGCCTCCTACCGCCACCACACTTCCCTCTGGCCTTGAAGACTCGCTGTCAGGCCTTTCAATCAGTACAGCCCCTCCCACCATGCCGAGCGAACTGCAGACGGGTAAGTCCTGTCTATTTCGTAAACGAGGATGTGGAAAAAAAAGCTCGTGAATCTGACATGTTTGAATTTGGGAATGGAAAAGGCTCACCAACCCTGTTCGTGGGGCACTGATTAGAAAGTGTGCTGACGTGTGCTCTGGTCAACTGTGGCTCTTGCCTCCCTCGCCAGGTTTGCCCACAGTCCCTCTGCTCCCCTCCTCCAATCCGTCCCTCAGTCCCCTCACTCCTCTCAATCCTGCCACGGCCAGCTTCAACCCCGCCACCACGTTACCAGGTAGGTCCTTTTGGAGTGCCGCAAGGGCACGTGGCTCGAATTTGCAACGATGACAGTAGTTCGGTGTACCTTTTTTTTTTTTCTTCACGTGCTACATAAAGCGTTCTTATCCAAAGTGATTTAGCATGCATGTTGTGTTTTCCTTTAGGCTTGATGCCCCTTCCGGGTGGCTTACCGCCGCTGCCCAACCTTCCCAATCTCAACTTGCCGCTCCCGGACCTCGGCGCCATCTCACTAGCGGGCACCAGTACCTTAATGCCAGCCGGAACCACAGGTACATGACTGCATCATGACATGTTCACAACCCGGCTAAGAAAACAGTTCACTCGACTTTGATTTGTAAAATAATATATATATATATATATATATATATATATATTGTGTATCATGCAACCCCCCCCTCCCCCCGTTGCAGTCACCCCGCTGAATATACCTGGCCTGGCATCTCTGCCTCCTTTGCCCGCCATGCTGCCCTCCCAGCTGACTCCTCTCCTGCCACAGGGCGTTGCCCCCATTCTGCCTACTTCCACCGCCGTCGCCCCTCCGGCCTCTGTCACGGTAACACCTGCCTCGGTGTCTGTCGGCGACGTCACAAACCCCACGGAACTGCAGCCTTCTTCGGAGACAACGCTTACCTCCTCGTAACCTGGGAATGTATCTCTCTCAACCATCGAACCAAAACACACACACACACACGGCTTTTCTTTCCTCTCATCTCTTTCTCTCTTTAGTTTTCTATTTATTTAGCCGAGAGGGACAGGTTGCACCCAGTCAGAGATTCCAAGTGTGAGTGAGGTTTATGAAAAACATGTCTTCATAAACAGATTGTTATATTGCAGTGGTGGACCGGGCCGCACTGCAGCTTGCCTTCAATCACACTTCACTTTGCGATTTACTTCTGAGTGTTCCTTTATTTGCCCTTCTGCGGTGTCATTTCTTCCGTTTGAGAATGTTCAGTGTTCCGGTATTGACTGAAATATTCATTCATTCCCTTTTTATATACTGTATGAGCAAACAAACCGTTTATAATCATTCATCATGCGGTCTAACACAGAAAAAAAGAAACCGCACTATTGTACTAATCTTGGTACAGTCATTGTATAAAGTGAATTCCGTATATAAAATGGTGAATAATTAAGAACGTCTGTCTAACCTTGTATTCCTGGCATTTACCAGTGCATCACAAAGTAGAATACAGCATTATGAAAAACTTTATTTCTGTAGTTCAGTTCAAAAAGTGAACATTTTCTTTCCGGAAATTACAATATAGAATAATCAAAATGATTTTAATATTTAAAATAGGCTGGGTATTTTTAATGAATCTACATCAACACTACAAATATGCACGTTTCAATGTTTGAATTCAACTACTGAAAGAAATGAAGGTTGATGTGATAGTCTAATTTGAGATGTGCCGGTACTTTTCGATCACTTAGTTATGTTACCATTACCCCGCTTTATTTTCTTTGAAATGACTAATATAGCCAGACACACACAATAAACCCAACAAAACGGAGGCAGGCTGAAAAGTCACATCTCACGCATTTCATGTACCGCCATAGTGTGGTCAGTCGCTTGCTGGGGACGACCGGGAGTTCAGCTCTTTTTTCAATTTCCTTTGTGACCAATCGTTCCATTGACTTCGAAGTTACGCAGAACAGCCACAAGATGTCACTGTAAACAAAGAAACTAAGAAAGATCTGCGGTATGCAAAATGCAAGCAATAAAGCCAAACCAATTTTACACGCAGCCTTGTGCTTCCTTATGACAACTGACAAATGTTGGATGGGGAAAATGGCTTCCTTTCGTGCATCATGGACTATAGTACAAGATGTCAAGGCAATGTCCAGTCGACCCTGTCGCCTTTTGTCCAGAAAATCACGTTTGTACACCATTGGAGGCCGTCGTGACCATTAACACGTCGACGTACCTTTTGTTAATCGCATGTGATTAGAGGACAAAAAAAAAGCGTGTGCTGCAAGCCCCTCATTCACTTTTTATCGTGCTCGTCCATGGGAAGCGAATCGAGCAGACTTCGGTATCCAATCCAATTACTCGCAGGCTCTTTGTACTCACAAAAAGGTAATTCAGTCGTCTGGGAGAACTACTGTCTTAAGAGTTAAGTTTTCTTTCGCACCACGAGTGCCGCGTTTGGCCTACTAAGCTAAGCTGAATATTTTAAAAAAATGCTCAAATAGCATTCCATATAGCCGTTCAAGCATTTATTTGATATCCTTGCTGTCCAGCTTTGTCAAATTTACTTCGCTAGTAGACCCCATGTGTCAATTAGTGAAGTTTTGCCTCAGTAGTGAGGTCGTGGTCTTACTAGTAGTCAGAAATAAATAATACAATAATGGGGAATAATATTTTGACTCCCAAGTTGAAACCTGCAAATACACATACTCGTGAGAGTAATAGATATTTGGCTTTCGGGTGAAAGGCCAGCCTGACTTCGTACATTGACCGAGGTAGTATGCGCTCACGTAAGCAAAGAGAGCAGCAATGTAGACATTGAAGGCAATCTTTATTGCATTTGAATGGCATGGCCAAGCGTTGACCCCTTCCTGCAAATATGGTCCGACATGTTGCTTACTAACGGCTGCGCATGACGTCTGTCTCCACACGATAAATGTCATTAAACAAGGTATGCACGTCATGCTTCCAACTGAACAAGAGGGATGCATGTTTTCTACCTCCCAGCTCCTAAAGGGGCATACGTTAAAAACATTGATTGAATTACTTTCACTCGAAGGGATGCTTCAGTCAAACATACATTAAAAAAATCCTTTTCGGGCCTTGGTGGCTTCGAGTAGTGATGTTTCAACTTAAAATGACACATTAAAGTTAGCACAATACGGGTTGAAAAGACTAATTGACAAGTCTGTTAGCATTCCGCAATGACAAAGCTTGAAGTCTGTTAATCACCCATCACGTGTTTTGGCTTGAACAGGGACGCCACGCCAAAAGCAACAGACGCTGGCTGGGTCTGCCCGGTAACTATTAGTGGTACCTCAAGTGTATGGAAATACAAAATAGGCAAGCGTATCCTCAAGTGTAACAAAAATTGAGTTATTTGCTGTCAATGAGATGAGGACGAGCTGTTAGTCAACCTTTTGCTATGAAACAGCGTCGACCTAAATATAACAAGCCCCCTCCAAAAAAAAAAAAAAAAACCCCAAAACATTGAGCTAGCATTTCCACACCCGCGGAAACATGCCACACCACGACTTACTCATTCATTCACAAATTGCACTCATGCCCCTTTCACTGCCTCACAGAGAGTCGATTGCAAGCCACAATCCACATGACACAAAATCGAGTTTTTCTGTGCATGTCATAATTGCATTCCATCCTTTTTACGCCGTGCTGCAGCGAGTGGCAACCCTGCAGTTGTGCTATTTGAGTTGGGATGACGGCACCGGGGAGTCAGCTTGTATTATTCGGGGCCTGAAAGCAAAACAGCTGTGCACGCAGCGAGTTGACAACTGAAAATTCGTAATGACGTCATTAACCTTTGCAAGGACAGCTGTTACTACAGTGGACAGCTTATCATGTTATCAGGCTACATAATAGGGTTAATTAATCGAGGTCTACTTGACTATCTTCACGTGAGCGTCGACCACAAGAAAATCTGTAACCCCTTATGGAGCTACGCCAACGTATAGCCAGTTGCATTCATGGGAATCAATCACCCCATTTCCTCTCCTGCTCCCAACATGTCCGACTTGGAAGCTAAACAATAATCAAAAGGGGAAAACGAAAACGATTTCAAGTTTGTCATCAATTGAGGCCGGAGCCACTCACGCATTAGAAACTAAGAGCAACACTTGTAGCAGCAAAGAGTTGAGCTTCCTGAAGGAAAACAACGGGAGACGATGGGAAGCAAGGGAAAGCCTCGTCATGTACTTGCGAGTGGGAAAGGAACCCAGTGAGCAGCAGCTCCGGCCCTCGGTTGTGTCCGGCTAACCGCAGGCCGGTGCATGATTTTCCCTGGACAGCAACGATGGATTCTGACATTTCTGTTCTAATGTGCGGACTGTTGTACTTCAACAAACCTGTGGCACCAGAAGAACACAATCTGGATGGGAAGTGGGAAGTGCAAATCAACACCAGATTTTTTGTTGTTATCTGGATTTCATTAATCATCACCGTCCTGCCCAACAATGAGACGCATCATCCTTTGTGTCAACGGATGGACAGACTTCTCCGAGTTATTGTCCTGGGAGGCTGAAGTTTTTCTGATGAAGCTCCCCTCGGCCATCTTGAGCGGCGTAAACGAAACAGGGTGTCTACAAGCTGTTCAAAAGTCAAAAGGGTTATTGAATATAGTCCGCGGGGATGGGGATCTCGTTTCTCTTCCTCGCCGCACGTGGCTCCACTCCAGTTGTTTTCCCTCTTTCACCGTTAAAGCCCGAGCACAGCAGCCTACTGTGTCATCTTTTTGCTCGGATTTCCCTTGAATTCGGCTCTTTTGCTCATCCATCCATTCTGGAAGTTCTCTGGTTGTAAAAGAAAATCTCCACAAGCGATGATCCGGTGCCATCAATGAAGTGGCCAGGTGGTGCCGTCAATCTAAACGAGAGCCCGTCAATAGGTGGCGAGCGACGAGGTGGCGGGCTGCAGCGAGCCGGACGAGTTTGAGCGTCTCATGTGAGGGAGAAGGTAGGAATCGGAGCACAGCTGGTGCACGTCGAACCTGTCCTCCTTGCGGTAGGCCAGACAGCGGCGGATGAACGCCTGCCGAGCAGAGGCGGGATGAGCGCTGCTTTTATATTCAAGGATGACTTTTAATGACGAAGCAAATCATTTCACCGCGTTTTGTACATTACAAGCGGAACGATTGCTGCATTGTTAGACTGCACTCAAAATGTATTTTTGACTGAGCTCTTTTATTGAAGGCATCGAGTGCGGCGGGCGGTGAGGGTCTCGCACCTTGGCCTCTGTGCTGGCCTGCGGTTTAGCGGGGAACTGGACCTCGGTGGCTTTGAGGATGGTGTTTTCCTGGAGGATGTCCTGCTGAGACTGGTTGTGACCAAACGGCTGGGAAAACAAAAACAAATCACAACGCACACCCACACATATATATATATTTTTAATCGATCTTATCGATTCAATTGTCAGCATTTTATATGCAGACATGGATCTGTTCATTTGACGTTTACCTTGCGCCCATAGAGGCACTGGAAGAAGATCACGCCCACAGACCAGACATCCACCTTGTTTGAAATTTTTGGCGGCTCCTTGCCCACCACAAAACACTCCGGAGGGAGGTACCTGGACACACACACACACACACGTTATTGTTGCACAGTGCAAAGCCCTGACGGCACCGACCCGACCCGATATGCTAGCCGTCGTGGTTGCGATTTTTACCAGTAGGTGCCCGCTCCCTGAGATGTGAGGTCCATGCCGTCGACGCCGTAGTTGTCGTCATCCATAATCTTTGACAGGCCAAAGTCTGTGATTTTGATTTCGCCACATGCAGTTCCATCCACTAATAAGATGTTGCCTGCAGCGTTTCGCACAATTTACAAGACAAACGGTCGTCGGACATTTAGGCAATCCAGAGTCAGTCAGTCGGTACAAGTCAAGGAAAAATGGACATCTGTACCAATGGAACGTGTGCGTTGGCAAAAGTTGCGTAACCACCCGGTTTCAGGTTTTGAGTCATGAAACATTCGATGGAAAATTAGATTTTGAAGCATGCGTATGCAAATAGTTTGGTACGTGCGTTGGCAAAAGTTGCGTAACCACCTGTTTCAGGTTTTGAGTCATGAACATTCGATGGAAATTTAGATTTTGAAGCATGCGTATGCAAATAGTTTGGTCTCTGGTGGGCCCGCAAACCCATCAAGTGTGAACGTGCACAAGCCAGCGGGTCTTTTTGAGCCGCCTATTTCCGTCTGCTGCGGTGAGCAGTGGCTCAAAACCACGAGTTCCATCAAAACAAGCAGAGCTCTTGGGGACCTTTCAAATGCACGTTTCAAGTGCGCTCTACTTCTTGATCCTCAGGGTATTTATTTTTATTATTAAGGCATCTGGGATCCGTTTTAAACTTATGAAAATGTCTTCTTGAAGTCAACTTATTCGGATGTTCCCAATTCCACTCACCGGGCTTGAGGTCATAGTGAATGATGGGCG